ATGGACTAAGCTACATTCCTTATACTAGAAATATGTGATTAATACATTAACCAATAGCAACGTGCTAAATATCAGCGAAACTGCTACGCCGCGTCAAAAAACTCTCTGTATACGGGCATGGCAATTAGTAGTCTTCGTTGAGTGCTACTAACCTAACCAGAAGGACTATCTCAATCCGGACACAGTGGTTACCCAATCCAGCACTTCTTATTAGAGTTAATTGTCACGTAGAAAGAGACTCAGTGGAATCACAACTTCATTATATGTTTATTTCAATAGTCGTAACCAACACCTCTTTAAATAGCACAAGAATGTCGGTTGGCTACGGATTTAAAATTAAACAAGTGGATGGAACAAACCCACTTTTTTATTTTATGAGTTTAAAAAGTTCTCACATAATACATTAAAAAAACTAGAAAAAAGTGGATTGTTCCCTAGGAATAAATTTGTCTAAAGTTTTTAATAAAATCATATGTGTCGTTTCTCTCCAAAATCCAATCAAATCATACATTTTCCAACAGTATTTGGGTATTTTTTCTTTTTCATTGTTTTAAGTTTCTGACCCCCTCCAGAGCCACTTCAAATTAGAAAGTTGACAATTTGAAACCAACACTTACTTTTCGAATTTTTTAATGGTCTAGCACACTTCCATGTCCAGGTTCAAGGTCCACTAAATAAATAAAATAAAATTTAAATAGAGCGTTAAAAATTTTTAAAGTTGATTGAATGTTAGAGATGCACATTGCTAATTCCATGCTTTTGATCATTTGAATACGCGTTCAATAGTCCACTGAATAAAGGGCGGTTAGAACTTTACTCTCTTGCCACTCCAATACAATCCTAATACGGTTTTAATTCATTACTGTTTTTGTTTTATTAATCTTCATAATATACCAACATATGACCACGACATAATATTTCTGTTATTTCAAGTACATTTACTATAACTTTATATATTAATGTCATATGAAAAAAAAAATCATTTTAGTTCTTACTATCTTCTGAAAAGCTGTTTTTTTTTTTTTATAATTAAGTATATTTTTTTACTAAAATCCACTTTAATTAAATGGTTTCTGTTGTAGTTGGCAACAATACTGAATCAAGCGCTTTTATATATTATTTCATAATTTACAAGTTAATTAGAAATACTATTCAAAACCAAAAAAATCCAATATAATCAATAACTTTAGCTCACATATTTTTTTCAATCGAAAAATCCTGTACTCAGTAGATTTAATGATAAATAAATAAGACGCATTTGAAATTTAATTTTAACATTACTTGAAACTTCCATTTTTTTAGATCGATAATGCATAAATAAAATTATATGAGAAAAAAGAAATTGTTGAACTTAATACTGTTAGTCTTATCTACCTTAGCACTGGAGCCATCGTAATTATCTTGTAGACATTGTAAGAGCCATCCGCGGAAACTTTAAATAAACATCAACTTGCGTAGAATAGCAGCGAAGTCCGTGCTTGAAAGTAGCGAGATAGCCCTACTTCACGCAACCCCGTCCTCGCGTGCAGACAGATCTGATTCTAGTTACTTTATGCACCGTCACATTTTCACCTTTCGACGCCGATGAAAATCCACTTACACACGCAGTTTTAATCAAGGATCATTGCAGGCGTTAATCTTCTTTTCGGAACGGTTGGAACGGAACGGAACAGTTAGAAGTTATCTCTAAAACCCAAATTTTACCAGTAAATTTACATTTTTATTTCGTGATATTTTAAAAGCTTGTGTCTAATCCCTACAGGGAGAAGGTAATGGTGTCCTATACGCTTCCCATATATTTATAAGTTATAAATCATAATGTGATATTGTATATTCTAATACATATTATATAATAATATGTTGTTTGTAAAAATAAAAACTTTAGAGGTATTTACGCAATCTGTGTTAAGTATGCTAAACGTGCTAAGAGTATTAATGTGAAGAAACTCATTTGACTTCAACTAAATATAACTCTAACAAAAAGGATAAAAAAAAAAAAACTTGACAGTAGCACGTTCTGGGGTCTGCTAAACGTTTTGCTAATTTCAATAACATCATTGTTATAGAAATATAATCAATCAACCACAACTGATGAAGCCTAAAAACAAGGCTAGTATTGTATCAGATAATACTTTAACACATTGAGGACCTAAGCGAAAAGTGTTTGTGCTTATTTTTCATATATAAGATGAAATATAATGAAAACTATAAAATTATTAATAAATAATTCCTAAAACTGTTCATATTTCCATAAAAAAATAAATATATTCAAAATTAATGGAGGTTTTCTGAAGGATTAAATCACGGCTATAGAGTCACCAATGCAAATTTTGTGAAATTAAAACATAACTTCACTTCATATATTCGAAATTGTTATCAAGCTCCCAAAGACTTATTAAATTAAGCATTAAAAAAAATGTTTCTTTTATTGTGCCGCTCATTGATTTCAGCGACAGAATCAAAGGTTTAGATATACAGTGGAATCTCGCTTAACCGGACCCAATGGTAAAAATTAAAATTCAATAAAACAATTCATATATTGATTTACATATTAATATATGAGGGAATAGAGTTTAAAATGAAACTTTCTTTTGATACACGGTATAAGTTTGTAAACATTTTCTTTGTTTTTATCCGGAGTCAAAAAGCCTGTTATACATTTTTTTAACCTAACTTATTTATTTTTATTGCCGGTTAATCCGAGGAATTAGTTAAGCTAAAATTTTCAGATTTAAATCTTACTTGATTGTGGATTCTAATTATATTTTCTAAAAAGTTGTTTCTTGACATGTATTATTTATAGTGGTTTGGATTCCATGTAAAACACGAGGATTTTTTTCTTTATTAACCGAAGCTTCAAAGGACTAAGAGGTTAAACCAAGAAGAGAGTCTTATAGATTTTTATTTTTTGCATTGAAATACAGTTTCTTGACTCTACACTGGCTGACTATAGTCCAGAAGAAGCTGAATTGATTGAAGAAGCAGAATGACATGAAAGGTATTTAACTGAGAGTTTTCAATTCCCAACTATCTGAAACTATAGATCCCTTAGATTTAAACCAGAAAATCTGTACGTAATAAAAAATACCAAAAGACGTAATTATTTAAATTTATTTTCGAAATTATTTAAAGAGAAAAATAAAGTGAAATAGAATTATAAATATAAATTAAACAGAATTATAAAGTGCGAAACATGGGCGTTGATGACCTCAGGGTTTTACGCCCTAAAGCCCCAGACAACAACAACAACTATAGATCCCTCAATTCACTTATTTAAGTATTATTCATCATCTAAACGATCATTAATTAAATAAAGTCCGACAGTCATGGATTCAAAACTAGCGTTCATAAGTAAAGTTCAAGTACATAAGTATATATAAGTAATATTCCAGATTAGATGAATACGGTCACCTGAGAGGCTGGAACCGTCCCATAAAGGCCTTTCAGAGTAGGATCCTGGAGAGATGACCCCTGGCAGGGTGAAGGTGAGAAGGTGTAAACAAACAGCGGCTTGGCGGGGGCGGGAAACTAGCTGGATCGATCTGGTGACGTCACAGGGCGGGACCGCCTCTCTCCCCCGCCCTTGCTGTCGGCAGCACCACCTGTGCCTGCTTCGCACACCTCGCGGTTTGTTTTAGCCCAAAAGGATGCAGAGAGACGGAATGTTTTTGTATCAATATGTGTATGATTTTGGATTATTATTGTCAAGCAAAAAAGAACGAGAGAGAACAGAGAATAGGCCAGCGAAGTGACAAGACGACATAATAAATATAATGACAAAAAATCCTCCAATCCTTAAGTACCAATTTTTCCGATCTATAAAAAATGTAAACTGGGTTGTTAATTGGATGTGGATTTTTTTTTTAAGATAAAAAATATTTTATTTAAATCATTTTTGCTTTCTCTTATTTGAATTATCAACTATTAAATTATCAACTAGAGCATGGATGTGACTATGTGATTAGTATTTTTATTTTATTTCGTTTTATTATTACAATATATTTAGTTAGAAAATTTACTTTTACCTATCGTATTTTATTTATGTATGTTTAGTGATCAGGATAATTTAGTGAGGGATGAATATTACACAAAATCAAAAAATTGATTTAGGGCTGTCTTTATGTAATAATTGAGAGAGAATATGAATACAAAATTTATACAAATAAAATTTCAAAAATCTTAATTTCAGATTAAATAAACTATTGTAAAATATTTTATTGTTAATTACTGTCGATAATCTAAGATGAAAGAACAATTTTTTTGTTAAAGTGTAAATAAAACCAACTTTTATTGGTATTCACATTGTATTAGAAATTTACTATTGCTCTCTTGAACTGAACTTGTTTAGGCATTTTGGACTTGTGCCCAGCTTAAAAAAAAAACTTTTTTTTTTCGTCTGTAGTTTAGTCTTAAGCATGTGACTAAATGGAGAGTTTAGAATCTTCAATTATGGAGCATTACAACAATAATATCTAAAAAATCAAGACAATCTTTTTTTTTTAATTAGTAAAAGAAAATTAAATAAGTTCAAAACAACTGCAGATTATGAAGACAGATTTAGAAAATCTTAAAAAGTTTAAAAGTTAGTTAGTGATAATTGTATGTAATTAGACATAAAGATTGGGCAATTATTAAACTTTCAATAAATATTATATATATTAAATAATTCAATGTTGAACATCTAAATTATTATAACCAAGTAAAAGTATTATCTGATAGTTCATTCTGTCTAACAATAGTTGAATAAATTTTTCAAAAATATAGATGTTTAAGGTTAAAATTTTCCATAAACTTTAACCTGAGAGAATTTTATTCAATTTATTAATATTTTATATTATTGTTAATATCAAATTTATATTAGAAATTTTTATTAAATAGAGCAACAATGGTGGCCATGGATTGGTCCATTAGACTCAGTGGTTATGGTTGTCATATACTTTATAACCAGTGTTACATATACCCTAATACTACGCTCAATAATAAATAATAGTTAAAAATACCTGATAAAAAAGCCTTCAGTAAAAAATTTAAAACATTTCAGGGTTGAGAAGCGTAGCAGTGAGTCCTGGCACCTGGCGAACAGCTGTCTTGAGTAATAAACATCACCTGCGTCTAAAACAGGAGTGATATCATCTTGAATAATTAGTAATAAATTAACTGTTAATGGCATTGAAAATAAAATAACAATAATTAGTCAGAGGCCAGCGTCAAAAAATCAGTCATTCATGATTTTACAACACATATCATTATAATCCATGCATGTGATATAGATCTTTGGCATACTTTGAGTGCAGAGAACCAAAAAACCACTTTCTTATCCAAGCAGTAAATTGATAAATAAAACATTATAATGTTAATGTAATTTAGACCAGACGAGTTGTGAAATAATCCCAGAATTAAGCAATTACACTAAAACACTTTCCAACATTTTCCCTTATAACACGAACTATTCATCCATAAACATTTTTTAAAACTATGGTTGGTATCAAATCACCAAAAATTTAATGCTCAAAAATATTTAATTAATAAATAACATAATTGACCCCGAAAAAATGAAAAACCAAACATTTTCGCCGATTATTCGCGAATTTAATTAATTTGATTCCTCACTGAGCTTTTTAAGTTTAATTTTTAATACAATACAGATACTGATACGAACGAATATAATTATTAGGAACTACATCATCGTACATTTATCTACCTTTGATTACACTGTTAGTAGACTTTGTATTTTTAATAGTTCAAAAATCAATATTTTTTGTTTTAAATAACAGAAATCAAATTAAACCTTTTGAATTTATTATGGTTAATACCTTAAAGTCTCTCAGGCCTATAGAGGTTTATTAGCACTCAAAATTGTAGCTTGGAAAATGGACCATAAATTATTTTAAATCCTTTCATTTTACATCATATTTGCTAAAATAAATAAAAAAATATTGATATATCATTATTTGGACAAATTTTAGTTTTTGAAAAACTGCAACTAGGAAACTATTGAAAAGATCTATGAGGGCGAAAATGTATGTCACTTTAAATTGGTTAATTAATTCTTATGGTGCGGTAGACTGCTTTAAAGGTGTGAGCAATATTTAAAAAATTAGCTAAAATGTTGTTTTTCGCTTTTTATACTATTATTTTCAGCAGCGCTTGAGAATTTTTAATGATTTTTGATAAAAAAAAAATTAAGTTTGTGGGAAAATAAACTAAATGTGCGCGTTTATATTTTTTTAGTACAAAAAAATTGTTATTATATCATGTGAATATATGTCCGATCATTGATTGGTGTGCTGTATTGTGGCAATCCAATGTATTTGGGCAGCATGGCTAAATAAAGCATTTTTCTCGAAAAAAAAAAAAAAAAAACGCATCGTCATAAAAATACCACCGAAACACCGTCTGTTTGGGAATTAGTTTCTCCAACACTCAATTTCTCCTTATATTTCCTCTAATACTCAAAAAAAATTGAAATTTTAAATTTCAAAAACTTATATAAACAATATAATTATTGTTTAAATAAATCAATTGGTACCCATGTTAAGTCTCAACACTCTTTATCATATCATCAACAGTCCAACGTTTCGACAAATTTGGCCATCCTCATGAAAAATCTTAAATAAAAATTTACACCACACATCCAATTATTAAAAAACGTTGTGCAGGCTATTCTGTCCAGGTTATTAATTAAAAGTCAAATCACCCTATTTTGCCACAATTTCATTAATTTTTAAAACTTATAATTTTAGATGAACTTAACACTATCAACTATCATATAAACCTTAAATCATATAACACGGGTTCCAATTAGTTTATTTGAACAATAAATATCAGTCTCGAGAAATTGAATTATATAAAACATAACTATTGTTTAGTTATCTGCAAAATTATGGTTTTTTGATATTCATAATAAATCAAGTAAAAACACAACCATCAATGGGAATTCATTCAATAAAAGTTCATAAAAAACAATCTATAATTCAAGGACAATATGTCATGAATTTATGTGAATGAGAGAATCATGATTCATCACCATTCCTAACAATAGTAGTAGAACTAGGCCGCATGTCATGAGCATGTTCCTGCATGAATTATGGCCACTTAATCCGACTATAAACATGTACAGCGGGCTGGCATTCGCAGTTATTATTTATTTACCAATTGATATTCATTAAAATCTTATAGAATAAAGTTGTCAAGTAACAAAAAAAAATGGCTTAAACCAGGAATTTATTTTTATTTAAAAACCTTGTACAAATAAGAGTTAGCCTATAAAATACATAAAATATATAATCAATTGTAGTAATTTTACAAAAATGGCCAGTTTAAGATCATTTATATAAACTAGTAACAAACAATATACCCAAGGTGGGCTATCTACATTGGTCAGAATAAAACAATGAAACAAAAACATTTAAAAAAAACTATACATCCTATTGTGAAGATAGGTATCCAGCTCTAACCAATAGGTTTTGGGTTACATATATAAAAATAAGTTTAAGATCCGATCGTGAGGATACAGACAGAAATTCATACAACTGATTTTGGTCAATATTTCTTAGTTTCGGCATGTATCGGATTCGGTTCTCACGATACTAGGTACAGATTGTCAAAAAATGGAAACAATCCTCCAGTGCCGTTCCATCACAAGCTGGATAAAGCTTCTGTAGGTCCAAATTATGTTTGTGTGAACCAACACTTATAGTAATTGCATATTTACCGGGGAGTCGTCGTTGGATAGCTTTGAGGAGCGTCCATTTTAATGAAGACCCTACCGTACAACTGGTTATATGTCGAATCTAGTAATAACAAGATGTCTATGTTTGACATATTCCCTATATCTATCCAAGATCTCCCGCATTCTAATTCTGATACTTACTGGATCATTAAATAGAATCGGGTCAAATTGGAAGCTCTCTAATAGTTTTCTAATCTGTGCTACCCAGTTATATTGCAAACTCAGCTTGTTGTTACTGTCTAGCTATAGTGACTTTAAATAACATTGTTCCACGAAGCGAGTAAAACTCGTGTTAAGTATTTTGATTTACCAGGACAAAGTTCCCTATAAAACGTAATATCCCATAGGAATGGGCGCCACTTTTAGTAAAAACAACATTTTCTCAATCTTCATAATTTTCTAGTGCTGCAATATTTTTATTAGAAGCGAATAGGATAAGATGTTTTACATTAGCCTTCATGCCAAGACGTACTTTTTGCAACACTATTATCATGTGCAGTAGCATTGATAATGAGATTGCGGGGTCACTGACTCATGTAGGAAGCTAAAGATACTTAATGATGTTATACTGTATCTTGAGTATCCATTTACTATCTGAATTTCAATATGATTTTATAATTGATAAATAATAATTTAAGGTTGCCAAGGTAATTTTTAATCATCAATTACAAAAAAAAAATTATCAATTTTTATATGTGCAAGGTGTCTCACTAAAAATGTTTACCCCCTCTTACATTAACATTTTTTCATTTTTCACTTGGACATAAAAGCGTATTTGAATCCATTAAGAGAGTTGTTTATTTTTTAAGTTTTCTTTTCTCCATTTCTTCTCCAGCTCACCTAACTCTGGAATTTTCAATGGGTTGGAGTTTTTTCACGGTTTCTGATAGTAAGCCAAATTTTATGACGTATGCATATCAGGAACTTTTTTGATCCGAAGCGTCGTGAAGGCGTACATTGTCAAAAACAATTTTACGTATTTTCACGGTGCAGGAAATTGAATAAACCCGAAGAAAAAAAATCGCTTCAGAATACAATTTCCTACAAGAATCCATCATAATTTCAATTTGCTCAAACGGTTAACGAGGGCAAGAAGAATTAATTATAGGAGTCAAAGCAACTATTTGACGAAAATTGAATATTGAAATTATATTGTTCTTTAGGTCTTTTCGACGATCAAAAACTAACGATAATTAGTAAATCGTCAAAAACAGAAAGAAAAAAACGGTCTTAGGCGATTCTAGCCTCCAGAACGCGTCAGATCAAACAAGTGTCCGATATGACTATGTATTAATATCTGATTTTTTATCTGTATCCGAAAAAAATAATCCAAAATTACAAAAACTGTATAGGTTATTTGAAATGAACCTGCACATATATACATTACTAAAATAAGGCCGCCTCCCCCAGATGACGGTAGCAGCGTGGTAACGCGTCTATCTGCCAACCCAAAGGTTGTGAGTTCAAGTTCCTGGCCCTATCTGGGATTATTTCAAGCATATAATTATATAATACTCAATAACATTTGTTAGGCCCGTTAGCCAATGGGTGGCACTAACAAAAATAGGCGTGGGAGTGACGAACCAACAACAAAAACGAAAACCACGTCATGAAACAAGCGATGTATTTCCTAAGTAAATCGTGCGAAACCTTGGACCTCCACGGTCTGTCGTGCCAGTAATAATAATAATTAAATAAGGCTCAAATATTTTTTTTAAATATGTTATTTATTAAGGATTTAAAGTGTTTCTGTATATATTTTTTGTATGGTTTACAGGTATTGTATAAACATCTGTGACAGTGTAAAAATCTTTATATTTTGAGGCGATTCCACATCTTTTTTGCTCATTTTGAAACATTTTTATAATTTCTCTACGTTCAATTATGTAATGATTGTAATTAAGTCAATGTTTAATTAATGTGAGTCAAGTTTGTAATACCTTTTTTTTTTGTAGAACAAATTAGTCGTACAATAAAAAAAAAAATGTCATGTTATACAATTTAAACTTTTTTTTTCATACAATTTCTGAATAGAGTAACTTAGTTGTCAAATGTTGTTTTATATATATTTTTCTCTATATTTTTATTAATTGCATAATGCATGAATGGTTACTACCCTTGAGTATTATCTTATTGTCACGTTGTATTATTTTCAATAAGTTAAAAAAAAATGTTTTCCTTATTTTTTTACTTTCTTTTACTTCTAATTTGAATTAGAACAATAGATTACGAAAAAGGCACACACGCAAAAAAAAAAAAAAAAAAAGCCAACATCGAAAACACTGATGCAATGCAGAATATTTATAAGTTGTCATTTATACCACTACAATTCATGCAAATGCACCTCCAACCGACAAATAATTTCTTAGCATTAATTATT